GGACGTGGAGCACTTTTGCGGTTGCGCTTGACCTGAAAAGAAAGCTTGCGACAAAATCTTGCATCGCCTCCTTTTTGGATCCAAATTTGGCTCCAAAAACGGGGCGATACAAGATTTCACCGGCGTTCAAATTCACTGCGCCTGCCGGCACTTTCAGAGCCTGCAGCACGTGCGTGTTGTGTTTGGGTATTTTTTCCCCCGCCGCGTGCCTTTCTGAACTGGATTCTCTTGCGTTGACGCGCGACTTGTTTTTTCTATTCCTATAAGGTATTTTTGAAAAATCTTGTGGGAAATATTCAACATCAAGGCTTCTTGCAGCTCCATAATCATCGTAACCAATGAGATATGTAGCCAAGCTGGCTATCCCAAGAAACCTACCACCTTGCTAGTGACGAAAGCTGTCTACATCATGTGATACAGCACATATTGCAGTATACAGTATACATGAAACGAATCCAAGCCCGTGCACGGTGCAGGCGGAGCAATATGAGTTCTTGGCTTTAGGATACAGACTGCAACACAAAAGTTGGGTTCTCAGGACAACTCTGCAAAGGTCTTTTATGCGAAGTCAACTGAGATCTGAAGCATATTCCATCAGCTGCATCGGTAAGCCCCGGACCCAGTCACACAGCTCAAGCAAGCAATCTCCCAATTCGTCCTCACTTCGCAAACGGAGTGTTTCGTTGCTTCTTTTGGCAGCCTGCTAACCCAAAGAGCTGAAAGCAGAGGTCTGATGCCTTCCCGGGCGCCTTGGCCGGCCACGGTGGCTTCCGCCCGCTGCGCTGCGGGTGACTCTCATCATTTCCCACTTGATCCCTTTTCTATGAGGAACCTGAACAGAAATGTCATACACTATGACTTTGGCAAGCATGACTTATGCCAGATTGCCATTAAGCAAAGGAAGTACATGAGTTGTAGAACGACCGCTGCCAGTGACTGGTGGAAAGCCCAACATGAATCGCACGCCGTCAATCTTGTTTCCGTGACCTTTGTTCTGCATTGTCGCCATAGGCTTGTCACTCAGTACAGCACTCGTTTCTTTAGACTTCCTGCCTCAATGTTGGCGATTTCCAGTGGTAGTGCGGCCATCGTCCACTGCACTGCTTTTGAGTCGGGAATCGAGTGCAGTCATGCTGTTGCAATCTTGTGTAATGCTCGCGAGTCTTCGCTGTCATGTAAGCACGTGGTTCTTAGCATGCTATGAAGAGCTTGTGTGCGCCGCCAGGTGTTGCGGCGAGCTCTTTGACTTGGGCAAAGTGCCTCTCGGCTGGCCTGTCCGTAGTACGTGTTATGCCATGCCTTCGTTCTCAAAGCTACTGCCAGGAGTTTTAGCCATGATCCAAAGCGATTCTGGTGTCCCAAATGCCGCTTTCGGGCCATGGACCCCTTCAATGAGGCTGGAGCCCTTGATTTGAAGACCTTCCTTCGCTGATGCTTGGAGCAGGTGGTTGATGGTGGCCTGCTCCACATGTGCCTCGTGACCGCTGCGGAGCACAGTTTCACATTGTACCCCAACCGCAGAAACGTCGTGAGTGCGTGTCAGCCTGCTGAACTGTCCTTGAGGTCCCTTCCGCAACTCCAGGAATGGCGGGCTGCTGGCGAGGCTTGGGCTTTGCTGCGCCTTTTTGCGCGCATCTTTTGCCTCAAAACCTAGCTGTTCAGGCTGTTTGGGTTCGCATGGTGGCCTTGGATTGCACCGAACTTTTGCAGGTTCCCGGCCGCTGCTTAAAGAAGTAATTAGGAAGAAGCAGAATGTTTTGTGTGTTGGGAGGTGTGGCCAGAGGAGCTGACATTGGAGGTGCCCTTTTTGGAGTTAAGTAAAAGCTTTGGGCCTGGCTGCGAGTCTCCACTTCCTCCCTTGGCTCAGTGAGGATCTCCCTGTGTGCTGCAGGCGGATGGCCGCGAGCTCTTTCGAATTGCGCCGCCAGAAAAGGCAGCGGGAAGTTCTTCATGCTATTGAGTTGCACGAGTGCATCTCAGTCAAGCGCCTTTCTGACTGCGGTGTTGCAAATTACTTGTTGAGGTGTCCTGCACGCTTGAACATCTTAAGTTGATCGCTGGGGCATCAGAGACAGTCTTGTCTGGGGGGAGCACAGAAACTTGCAGCAAGAGCTGTGCTTCTTTGGGATCCCGATGCAATCATTCTGAATGTTGAGTGATCCTGCTCTCAGGGCCACCGGCGGCGTGATTTGCCGCAGGAGTTGACGTACCAGCTTATGGCTGGCCAGAATGACGCTGGGATGGCACAGACATGCCTGACACTTCCCGGCCTCCAATAATGTTCTCAACATTTGATTTGATAGGCCCTGCAGCTCAGAGTGAATGCTTCCGCAGCATCCACCGGGCTGGCCCTAGGTGGGACTGGCCATTTAATGCCCTTTGTTTCCCCTGCGGACCCAATTCAAACATCCTTGCTGCCTTGCAGGTGTGCTGCGCTGCTCTGCAAAGGCACCGCGGAAGCTGTGCGGCGAGGTCCCGAGGCTGGGTCTCTCTTGAGATGTGCTGCACAGTTGCGGCCTGTTAGCAAACCTTGCAACATCTTGCGACATTCAGCGCCTGGGCTTGTGCAGCTACGCAGGGAATCCGCCGCTGCCGCCCGGGAACGGCTTCAGGAGCTGCTGCGTGACGAGCGGGCCGGCAAGGAGGACCCGCACCAGGTCAGGTTGTGGCAAGGTGTACAGAAGGCAACCATCCGCAAGGTTGTGATCTTAATGAGTTTCAGCAAATAGTAGCAGAAACAGCGGTAAGATCAAGAGTGAATCGCATAAGCAAGTTTGGTGAGCTATTAGAGGGCAAGTCAGTCTACAGAGAATTCGGAAGGGTACAAGGTTTCATCTGGTCCTGTGGGGCTCTTTGCTTATTGCTTTCCTGTGATGTGTGTTACAAGTTACATGCCTCCATTCGCTCAACGTGCAGTTGGGCGTTAGGTGTTCTTCAAGCATTTATGCTTGCAAGCCCTGTTCCCGATCTGCAGCTTGTAGCCTGTTGTAGCCTGATACAGACTGATGGTGCGCGCATCGCGGGATGCACGAGAAGGCACTGAGACCGAGCCTCTCCAAGGGGATATTGAAGCTGCTCGCTGACCAGTCAGCTGGATTTTGCGACCACTCCATGTTTTGTAGACCCCGTAGCCGCCCGATCCAGATCCATAAGTGGGTGCTGCTGCTGCTGAGGTCACTCTGCGAAAGCACCTTGGAGTCCTTGTCCAAGTGGATGCTTGGAGCAGCCCCTTGCAATCCTGTCTTTGCGCCACAGCGGCTGTCTACGTGTGGCTACTCCCTACCTTGCAACAGGCTGACTGGGCACACACCTGTGAGACCCAAACTGTAGATGGTGAAGTCTTTGCTTATCCACACTGCATCTATTGGGTGGATTGGGCCTGGTTGCGATGGATACTCCAGAAAGCGGGCTTGAATGTGTGGGTGGAGAGTGGTGCCAGCGTGTCCGACTTTATAGCCAACGCGCAAGCTACGGGCGGCATGGGAGCGGTCAACTTTTGGCCCTGCCTGTACCTCTTCATGCCAAGCCGCTGGCTGGACAGCCTTGCGGCCTACGTCTCCCTGATGCTCTTCCAGGTTTGCACGTTTCAAACAATCCTTTAAATGATCTGAGACTATGATGATTTGCGCCCGTGAATGTACCTGCACCTCATTCAACTTGCAAGACCAATGAACTGATGGAGTATAGGGTGTGGACCAAGTTAGGCTGTGTTGCAGATCACAATGCATGGCGGCGGCGCTTGCTGCAGAGTCTCGCAAACCTAGTAAAACAGAAGAAGACCGTGCAACGAATTTTCGTGTCGTGGTGTAAAGCACAGGTCTTTTTCGGTCTCTTCCTGATGAACCCAGTCACCCTGAGCTTCTGCAACCATCTTCTGGTTGTGCAGATCTTCTGCGTAGCTGGCATGGTGCATATGCTGATCATGTGGAGCCACCTGGGGGACTTGGAGCCCTGGAGGCAATTGCCATGTCAACTCTGCGCGCTGGGGTCCATTGCTGGCTTCGTCGGCGTTGTCCTCACGGGTAACAGCTGCTTGCACTCCAACTGGCTGGGAACCCACTTGCCCTTTTTGTTCTACGCCTGCGAGTCATTGGGATTGAGCTCCATGTCACTGTTCGCACTCTTCTGGAAAAGCAAGCTGCCACTGGCTGCTCTGATCAAAGAAGCTTGACATCTGGAGTCACCAGCACTTGGAGTAGACGGCCCTTCATTCCTGCACCACTGCATTGAGGCCAGAGCTTTGAGGCCCCAAACTGCTCGGAGATTGCAGCTACAAGCGTGCATTTGACTGCAAGTTCTCGGAGTACGGGGCACGGAGGTGTACAGCCCGCGCGGTGCAGCAATCAATGCTATTGCTTCATCGCAAGCTTACGTGGCCACCCTGAAGAAAAAACATTAATTTCGGATGCGAGCTATCCGTAGTTAGTCTGCATGCTGTGCGATGCTGGGACCTGGCGCCTGATCCTGCGTCCCTCGCAGGATGACTTGCAGTTCTTTGTGCCGGCCTCACTTATGTTCTTTTCAAGCTCCATTAACTGTCCACACGCCCCCTGACTTATGACTGACAGACTGACTGATTGATTGACGGAACATTCTCAGAAGTCCACGAGTCCAAGAGGTTGTGCAGTAGCACTCTTTCTCTTGCTGGGGCAGAGACCTTGTTGTGTTGCACAAGCTTGTTTTCATTTGCCGTGCATTTCTTTGCTGTCGCAGCTGCGCAGTCAAGGCCTCCATGCGTCTCTCACTGCTGTGCCCGATTTCCCTGGAGCGGTTGGAGCGCCCAGCAGCTTGGCATGGGGAACCCATGTAAATTGAGTACTTGGGTACTATTAACTCCCATGAGCCCCTCCATTGTATTCCTCTCAGTAAGGGTACTTGCGTGGAGTCTTCAGGCTTCTTTTTTTTGCGACAGCGTCGTTCAATCCAAGCAGCTAGAGTCCCTGCAATGTCGTGCGCCTGAGCGTGCCCTCAGCAGCATGTTGGGTTGCAACCCGCAGCCGGTATGTCTGTCAGTGTAATTTGACTGCTTTGATGCTCCTGGTGCCTGTTTGTGCTGAAGAGGTAGGTCCTTTAGCTTCGGGTGAGGGAAAACGGCTGGGCTTGGCCAGGTTCGTGGTCGTAGCTGCCGGCACTTGCGCTGTTTTGGACTCGGTGCTTACTGCAGGCCTGGGGTGACCAACAAAGTAGATCCTAGCATTTTCACGTTTCGAGCCACAGCGCAACATGCACATGATACAGTGATGACGGGCAGCATGCCAGGAGCAACCATGGCATGGCGCCTGACTCATCTGCTCACCATGACTGGGTAGAATTCTCCTGGTTCAGGGACACCTGAAATCTCGGCTGAAGAATTGTAGAACAACGTTTAGCCTCTGAGCCAAACTTAGTCTTTGGACATTTTTGGCCATTCTCTTTCCTTGCGAAGAGAAGCGGCGAGGCCTAGGTTGAATTCTTGACCAACCCAGGCTGCCTTCAACAACCGCCCGGAGCCTGATGGTTTTCGCAAGTGCTTTTCATCATCTTAGCGGAGCGCTCATGAGAGTCCCACATGTGCTAGGAAGTCTTTACTTGACTGGACAGTTTGTTTCAATCATCGAGGGCCGCTCCGATGCATGTGCCATCATTAAGGCTGGACCTGCCCAGTGTGCTCAGAGCGACTGAGACCAGCTGACCTCATGGTGGACGGCCAGGGGCTCTGCTGGTACACGGCCTTCATACTCATTTGTGGTAGGCGGAACTCGGCCCCCTGCCCCGAAGATCGCAACCTTAAGGAACAACAAACTGCAGCTTGAAGGGCATGACAGCAGCACAACTGAAAGCCAAGCAGTTTATGCTCTAATGAAGCTCTGCCATCTAGCTTTGATCCTTTTGGGACAATTGCCTAGATGCGTATTGACACCTGTTTTTGATTTCAGGCTACGTTGAGCAGATCCTCGAAGAAACAGAGGCGGGGAACATAAAACTGCCGGCTCTCTTCGTACTTTTGCGTTCCTGTGTTTTGCTGTTGTTTTGATACAGCAGAGAGGCCTTCCCATGTTGCAGGAATGGTGCTAGGTAGGCAGCCCGCATTCTTCATGTGATCAACTCGTTTGTGGATCATGTTTAGTGGAATATGGGGATCACCATTGGGCGCCCTGTTGCGGCTTTGGCGCGGACTTCGACAATCCCTCGAAATACCCTGATGAGGCCGCTTGCGAGGAGGTGATCCTCTCAATGGACGGCTGCTGGCGCCCAGCCGCACATGATGAAGATGAGCAAACAGCTGCTCCAGAAAACAGGTCCGCTCATGGCAGGAGCCGCTTTGTGGGGTTTGGATAGCCCACATGTTATGATGTGGGAGAGATATGGCGGTACGCCACGGGGGTGTTTCTTTCACGCGCGATGGATGCAACATGATTCCAACACATTCAGATTTAGTTCCGAAGTACGTTGAGTTCTTACGTTCCGTTAAAGCCACAGGATGGCGTGACTTAACGAAGTAACCTCCCAGCTTGCAGATGCTTGGCTCGGTTTTTCTGCTGTATTCTCGTTGCCAAGGATCCTGGGCGGGATGCACGGATGCCTGGATGACAAGCAAAAGCCTTGGAAATCGATCATGTCAGATCAAGCGACAGCCATGGAGAGTCATTTCATAACTCTCTGGAGCAACCAGATCAGCTTACATGGTTTGTACTGCAGCTCCAGCTTTACATCGAACTGGGATGCTGCCAGTTCTTCGAGAGATCGATCGTGTTGCCGTGGAAACCTTCAGGCTTGGTGGCTATCATCACGTTGGAACAGAGCTTTGGTTTCCGCGGCCTGGCTGAACATCCTGCTGATATCAAGCTGCCGCAAAGTTGCCCGTAATTTACTGGTGATGACGCTTTTATCGGTGTAGCAACTGGATTTGCAAGTGCTTTTGCTCTTGGAGCTGGTCCAGGCCAGGCAGTAGTCCCAGCATGGCCCTCCTGAGGTATGGGGACTACCTGAACGGAGTGATGTGCCACTACAGGGAGTGCGTACAGCACTCAGTGCCAGAAGTGACTCAATTCTGTTTTGTTTTCCATTCCCCTCTATACCTCCATGTACTCTTTTATACGCCTTTATACAGTCATGTTCCCTCTATACTCCGCTATAGCATGTTATAACCTTTATACCCCTATACGCCTTAAACCCTCAACCCTGAGAGTGGTTGAAGGTTGGTATCCCCACTGGGGAAGATCTGAGCTGCGCCGATGGATTGTCCTTCCCGCCGTGTGGCTCAGGGAGCTTCCTATCAGGGGCACTGGGTGGATGCAGTATAGGGTTTAGGTAGTGTATAGGGGTATGTACGGCTATATGGGCGTACAGAGGGGTATACAGGCCAAGGCTACAAAAAGGAAACTACCATACTTGAGTAAGTCCGAGAAAGTCGGGATGGCGGATGGTAAGCAAGCTTGCCAGTTGCTGTTACCTCAGGTAGCTAGCTCTGGAATGTAATGATGGCAAGTGAAGCCTCTTGTAGACGCAGAAAGTCGCCGGACTTGCTTAACGCCCTTGTTGTCAATTCGTAGTTTGGGTGCGGGGGTGGAAAGAGGAGCAAACTGACTCACATGCAGCCTCGGGCTAGTGACCGCTTTTGAGGCACGATGCCGATGTCACGGCCTGAGCTTCAATGCAGGGGCGGCTGCAACGGAGTACAGTACGTATTCACGTGGGACAAGTTACGGCAAGGTCTTCGATCATCATGGCTACTGGACAGCGCCGCCCTGAGAAGTTGCCCGCCCCAAGCTTCCCTTCGGGAAATCTTCCAAAAATCAAGTGCTGACAATTGCGCATGGTACACCGTTGCAAAAGCATGAAACGGAGTGGGGCTTAGGAATTATCCTGCACGCATTCGAGGTGCTGGAAAAAGGATTTTGTGGAGTCGGCAATCAGTCGGCTGCAGTGCCGATGATCGTTGCCCGGGTCTTAAGGAGGGCACGGAAATTATGGACCCTGCATTTGTGGGAGAATCCTGCGTTTTTTACGTTTTAACAGGTAAGCAGTTCTTGGTAGCGCATAGAAGGATGCGGAAGGGTTTGCAGAAGATGCAGAGTATTTTTTTGCCACAGCTCTCGCGGAGGTTATGCGAAGGCAAGACATGGCTAGCCATTCTCAACGCAAAGGACTACGATGCAACATCTTCTCGCAGAAGGAACGCTGTAAAGCCACACACATGCGCGAGCGCAAAGCGAAGCACATGCTAATCAAATTCCTCGCAGAAGCCACAGTTTACTTCGTGGAAGGCTCGTAGAAACGTTTTGCAGACGCAGTTCCTTTTTCTGTTAATCTGGATTTGGCTGGCACATGCCTTGAAGAATGAACTTACCCACCTCTTGTTAAGTACCTGAGTGCTTCTGAATCACGGTGTGCGAGCTTCGTTTAGTACCTCACGAAG